ATTCAATCGGCGATACTTCGTTAGCAGAAGGGCGATGTTGTGTTGGTTGAAGAGTGCCTGCCGTCAGCTGTCAGCCTCTCCACTCACAACAGGTAATGTGCTGGGTGGTGTGAAAGCAATCTCAAGTGCTGTCAGCGACCATGGATTGTCTAAGCTAAAACTTGTGATTGTAAACTACAATGTCATATACTGAGGTATCGCACAACAAATTTGTGACTCACTGGCTGTGCAGATTTGCCTGATATGATTCTGGATCTACGTACCCATGTTACTAGTACCTCTACACTTGTCCTTTATGGCAGCTGTATGTGCCGGTCAGCCGTTGGGACAATGTTGTAATTGGATTTGGTGAGTGCACCAATCGCATGAAATCGAGAGGCAGCTGCCACGTTTAACTCACGTCTTCACGAATCCGAACCGCCTCGACCATGGCCGATCTTGCAGCTCGGTGCAGTCTAGTGTGCGGAGAAAGCAAATTATAGTGTTGGTGTATACATCGTGACTGGCCAACCCCATCTCCACCTACGCCGACCAACATGCCCCTCTCACACATCAGCACGTACCAGGCAGATTGCTATGGTTGGGCTCTGGATCGGAAACCACGCTGTCGGATTATTATTATTCTTCTTTTATTCCACGATGGCGTGACGCCAATAAGGACGATTGATAAGTGTGATAGAACTGATATTAGCCAGAAACAGCTAGATGGAAATTAACCGGGGAGGCAAGAAGCCATTCCTGATCATGAAAAACAAGCGGGGCAATAACGTTAGCAGGGGGAGCAGGAACAGGTACTGCTCAAAAGAAGACTGGATGCATTGTTTCGGAAAGAATTTCTACGAGGTTGGGTTGTGATGTCGATAGGGAGTGAGTTGTAGAGGGTGATGGCACTGTTGATGGGGGAATCTCGGTGCCTGTTTGTGTGTGCGTGTCCGATGGAGTAGGTCCTTGTCTGTCGAAGGGTGTATGGTTTGTTTGAAATCTTTTATTCTCACGATGGCCGGTGGCCAATAAGAGAAGAAAAATGGTTGGTGTTGACGTTGTGGTGCAAGATGTGGTTGTTGCAGGTGTGGTGGGGAGGTTTGGTGGTGGATGTCCCATGCTAGTAGGACTTGTTAACAAGAAGTCGTGAGCTAAGGGTGGGAAGCTTTGCGTGATGGAGGAGGGAACTGTGGTGAACTGGTGAAAAGAGGGGATCCGAAGGCAGATGCGTATAGCACGGCGTTGAATTCTCTCCAGTGTGTCCCGCTGTTGCTGTGTGGTGTTGTTGGAGAGGGCAAGGCTGCCATATTCGAGAGGTAGTGTATATTAACAATAGGCTGGAAGCATTCATTGTGCCACGTGTCTTGTGGAGTTGGTGTACATGTAGTAGGTTTTTGGCTTTGTTGGTGGTTTCTATGATGTGTTGGGCCCATCGCATATCGTCTTGGAGTGTAACACCAAGGTGCCTATGTTGGTGGACCTGCTGCAGGCTAGTCGAGTGGAGCGTGATGTGGATGGTGTGTTGGGGTTGGAAGGAAAGGACGACTTTATCATGTCACATCCGCCGTCAGTACACCGTTACAGCATCAGAGATTAGTAAAATACCACTGCCTGCAACATGGTACTTGGTAGTTTTGACGGAAATCACCACCTGCATGATTGTACCACTAACCTTTTTGTAGTTGTCTTGAAACTACACTACTTGAACGCCTTCACGGAGCAATATGAAGTTTAACATAGTCATTGTGACATTCTTGAGCACTGGCACTGACAGTGTAAGCGTGGTGCCCTTACCATGTACCACCAGCCTAACCAACATCCGCACTCATCCTCGAGACAGTCCTACAGCGCCTATCCGAAACTTGTTATCCTCCAGTCCTTCATCAGGATTAGCCATATAAAACAGGGTGTAAAACTGAAGTGAGTATACCACCTTTACCCAGCGGAAACATCGCAATCTCGACTTCACGCTGTTGATTGAAACGATCTTGACGAGATGAGCCACTAACGAAGATAAGGCGATCAGTGCATTATGATTCGCGACTTTGCCACAAGTGCATGGCAGGGCTAAGGAATGGCTTTCCAGAACAGCTGCGCAGGGCTCTTTCCGCAATCAGCGCTAAGCTTGCGATGAAAGCTTGTCGCAATCAACTACTACCTACAAAGTGGCGTGCAAAGAATAAGTCCAAATGAGGAAAACTAAGGATGAAGCTATTTGATCTTTGAGGTGGGTATTTTCATTCACGGCACAACTGAAATGAGGTGCTGCACTTTGCAGTTATCTCGCCCATGTCACCTTACCCACTAGCCTCTCCAAACCGAGCTGATTGATCCATAATATGGCCATCATCCTCGTCGCACACGGTGTCCTGCAAAGAGATGGGACTATCCTTAGGTTCAGCGCAGGACAGATCAGAACTGCGATAAGGAAGCCGCTTGGCATCACAACACGGTGAACTCTGTTACGAACACGCCATGCTTCAGGCCATAACTGTAGTGGTCGACACGCCAAGGGCCTACACCGCCCGTCATGCGTCTCAGCAAGTTTGCACCACACCAAGGAAGAGTATTGATCCTAGAAACATCTCTAACCCGGCGGTCATCCTGTTGGCAATGCCACTTTCCCCTGTAGCTGCGACTTGAAACAAGTGAACAAAACATCTCAAGCGACATAACAACACAATCAGCAACGCCATCACTTCTTGTACTATTTTCATCTGATAAAAGCCTATCGTCTTCTTTTCACATGTATTTTGGTACTTCCATAGGCTCGTGAAAGGAGTTCACTGTCTTGTGATGACATTCAGTGAGATACAACTAACTAACTGACTCTCGCCCCATAGTATTAGTTTGCATCACAGCTGGTGAAACTTAGGACCCCGCTGACCTACTTAGAAGTACATAAGTACAATGCACTGTTTGACCCATACTCGTGCATACGTACATGTACATCATGATCTTCCATCACAATCATCCACTGTACTTTACATGTAGAAAGAAAGAGAGAGAGAGAGAGAGAGAGAGAGAGAGAGAGAGAGAGAGAGAGAGAGAGAGAGAGAGAGAGAGAGAGAGAGAGAGAGAGAGAGAGAGAGAGAGAGAGAGAGAGAGAGAGAGAGAGAGAGAGAGAGAGAGAGAGAGAGAGAGAGAGAGAGAGAGAGAGAGAGAGAGAGAGAGAGAGAGAGAGAGGCAGACAGACAGACAGACAGACAGACAGACAGACAGACAGACAGACAGACAGACAGACAGACAGACAGACAGACAGACAGACAGACAGACAGACAGACAGACAGACAGACAGACAGACAGAGACAGACAGAGACAGACAGAGACAGACAGAGACAGACAGAGACAGACAGAGACAGACAGAGACAGACAGACAGACAGAGATAGACAGGCAGAGACAGACAGGCAGAGACAGACAAACAGACATACAGAAGGGGAGGAGAAAAGTAGGTACACGATACAATGGAGATATCATAACAAGATTAGGGGTAACAAAATAAGTTAGATTCTTGCTAACAACAGTAGAAATGGGGAGGGACGGGAAGATGAGAGGGAAAGAGATACCGTTAGAGAAACAAAGTTCAGAAGTAGTGGCAAACTCGGCCATTTGAAACACCGCCACCGCTGACTACGTGTGCGCCTACAACAACTTTGTCGTCAACGGCAGGAGTGGCAGCGGAGGAACTTCACACGGCGGGCGGGCAGTGCAGTGAATGCCCCACGGGCCTCTGGGACTGTCGCGTCGCCTGGCCCTTCGTTTCTCTCACCTCGTCGTCACGTCACTATGGGACCAATCTATCATTATGCAATTGTACATGACTTGTACATTGTATGTGTGGCAACGTAACGTTAGTGCGAACTTCCAATAGATTTTCTGCTTCAGGCGCTTGTCTGAATAATGCTAGCGCCATCGGTATGCATGGTGCGTTTAGTTATCACCTTTAGAACTTTTGTCACCTTCGACTTCTTTGGGTATGCCACTTTTCTATGAAGAAAGTGCGCAATTGCGCCACTTTAGTGACTTTACCCTATAAATATACTCATTGCTTTATCTGCTATTCATTCGTTATCTACCTCCACTGAGGAGCTCTTAATGAGCGAACCAGCTATCTGGAGGATATGGAGCATCTATCCAAGAACGAACTTCTTGCTATGGAGGATGGTGTTGTGAATGTGGGCCAGGAGCGCAGTGTGGAGAGGTGGACAGTTCAGTTCAGAGAAAGTAACTGTTTGAAAAACTCTATGAACGAGTGACAACGTAGCAATACAATCATGTAACAATGTTGAGGCCGCGACTCGTCATGGAAAATAGCCAGATGGAGAGAGAAAAGAATGAGCAAAAAACAAAAGCGTATGAGCACAAGGGGAGTATTGATCAGCCCTAGCTGGTATTTTCTCCCCTCTTCCGATATTATCAGTACCAGTGCATAAAGTCAATCTGGACCTCACCTGCCTATCTGACCTTGATGCCAGTGGCATATCGCGCATGGTAGTATAGTGCAACTGGCACTACCATGACAAATCACAATGTGCCTTGGTACACACAGCAACTAGTTACGTTCTCTTACGTCGCTCGGCCGAACACGACCGCCCAGTTGTAGGCAGTACTGCTGTGCTGCATGCATGCTGAGCTATGGTACTATGGCCCAAGTATGGGGAAGCCCCAACCGAGGCGTGTATATTATGTAGGCGCAGTATTACTACCGGTATTACTATTACAGTATTAGACAAAATGTCTGTAGTCTTTGCTGCAAACAGTGCTCAATACCTCAAAAAGGGGCAGAGCTTACCACACAGGGCAGAACAACAGAGACCAAAAATCCTTCTCGTGACTCCGAGTTTCGTGTTTCAAAGAACGTCTGATGAGTGTTTTTTGAAACACGAAACTCGGAGTCACGAGAAGGATTTTTGGTCTCTGTTGTTCTGCCCTGTGACTGTGTAGCTAGGCGCATACCGGTATCTGTGCAAAGACAGCTTGCATAATTATTATTACCGGTAGATCTAGTAGATCTACTCCCTATGTCCCCCGTTTGCATGATTGTAGACCATGCATGGTAGACTGGTGTAGGTATAGCTATGCTTCTATTCTGCTACAAGTAACAGTTGCCATGATGACGTTTCGGCAACAGGTTTGTGTCGACGCCATTTGAGCCGATGGCAATGGACAGAAATACCGACCTTTCACCACTGCCCCTTTACTTAGGGCTTTAGCTTTCACCGACGGAGACTGTAAAATTGAATGAAGTTTAGTTGGCCCTCGGCATCAACACCGGTGGGAAATTGGTTCGTCCAGTTGAGGAACAGATGAAGAAGGCTACATTGTAGTGTGCAATCGTTACTAGCCGCAAAGTTCATCAGTTCGGGTCCCGAATTTCTGACAGCCTGTTTCCTACTGTTGTCGTTGTTGCAATTGTTCACTTGTTCATTGCTAAACTACCGCCGATATCAGCCAGCGAGTAACATGGTTCTGGGCGGTGTCATTGACTTCGTCGTCTTGCTGGGCAAGCTGCTCTTTTTGAGCGTCTGGGAGCCTATCAAATGGCTGCTGCCCAAACAGCGTAAAGATGTCAGCAATGAGGTGAGCGGCATGGCACTAGCTGAATGGGAAGCCTGCAGTACACGTAATGGGTCCCGTACATAATTTATTATTTCTGATCTATTGGGCGGTTACACAAAGCCATTGTATAAAACTTCACTCCTCAACTCCGAAACTGTCTCTTTACTGCAATTCAAACCAATTTGTATTTCACCACATTTTTGGTCTGGCCCATTTCGACAATTCTGGCCAGAGAAATCCAACCTCATGAATAAAGTAGCGGCACGTTCCAGTACACAGAGTACATGTAGTATGTGCAGTGCTGCGTAGCGCTGGTGCTATTTCACTCATGAGGTTGGATTTCTCTGGCCCGGTACTGTACTTCCATGACTGCTCAACACAATACTATTTCGGATCCCAGAGCAATGACGGTGGAATCTTCACACTAGAGTTGCACTGTTTATGGTGTCTGAACTGGTGCACAGCCGTTATAATGATATGCGTTGTCTAGCTGGTCACACAAAAGGCGATGCCACGATATTGTTTTAACTCTCCAAGACAACTGAATGCTGCGATCCTTGCATTTTGAACTTTTTTTCTAATGTCAAAATGCGAGGATCGAAAAGGACGACGTTTGTAAGCGGTTAAGTTCAACTTACACCAATGCAGGTGATGGATGGTAGCAAAAGTCGGGGCCAGCGCCACTGGTACAGCCATGGCCATACCAGTTTTGACTAATTCCAGCGTTTATGGAATGTCCATAGTGAAACTATTTATGTGGAAGTGCTAATAGCTATGCTCGTACACCCCCAGCTAGAGTCTCTCCCTCCTTCAATGTTCATCCTGCCTAGTAAGGGCAATTGTGCTGTCCGAATATCGGTTGCTAGCAGAACATGTAGCTCAAATAACCAGATACACGAGCTAGAGGTTCATCCTCCCATGATACTGAAATTGGACATAGACTCAGTAATGATCGGCCCTGTGGCCGACCGGGCCGTACCACCTTTCAGGAGTTGGCTCCGGGCCTGCCGGAGTATATACGCTTATTACACTCTTGCTCAGCGGTAGGTGGACAGTGGGTGCAGTAATAAGTCACTGATGTGCAATACTAGTAGTAAGTAGCATTTAGGAGATGAAACACTGATACGTGTAGCGAGTTGTTGGGTCTGTCTTTTCTGGCTGTCATGCTGCAGATTGTACTCATCACAGGCGGTGGAATGGGAATGGGACGACTAATGGCCCTGGAGTTTGCCCAGCTCAAGGCCACTGTGGTTATCTGGGATGTCAATCGGGACGCTATGAATGGTGTGGTGCAGGAAATCAAGGACCAGGGCAACTCGGCGGTGTTCAGTTATGTCGTCGATGTCAGCAAAAATAACCAAGTGTATGCTGCAGCTGACAAGGTGAGTCCGACCTCTACACCGTGACTACACAGCTTCCACACGGCAAGAGTGCCAGACTCGGGATTCAAACTAGCAACCACCTGAATCCCTATCGTAGCTCTTGACCACGGTGGCCTTGACTTTCCAGCCACTGTGCTGGTAATTCTCAACTAGTGAGCACTGGGTAGGATAAATAAGTGTTTGTGTGGAATACATGTAGATGGAAGATTTTTACCAGTGCGCATGTGATGTGATATTGGTTATATTCTTCCAGAAGAAATGGGAAACGCGAAACGTGTTTCTTTATCCAATTGCCTAACCTAATCGGCGATGCAAATGTGTGTGTGATAGGTTCGCCGTGATGTGGGAGACGTGTCAATCCTGGTCAATAATGCTGGCTTGGTGAATGCACCGAACTTCCTGAATGTTCCGGATGAGCGCATCGAGCTGCTAATGGACGTCAATGCCACTTCACATATGTGGGTAAGCTCCTAGCTAAGATCTCCTGAATGTATCCCACACTGCCTACTAGTATCAAAAGTAAAGTTTGTACGTCCGCGTTACAACCGGTTATACAATTGCGTTGAGAAACACAACCAGCCTATCCTGCATAGCAAGAGTATAATAGTCACTATAATTATACCCCCCCCCCCCCCAAGAGTGTGTAACTCTCCATATGGGGTCTCCGACGGCGAAAACTCACATCACCTTTCTCAGATACGTTCGTACTACGTACAAACTAAGGATAGCGTTCGCGCAATCCGAATATCTGCCATGATCATGCTGGGGATTGGCATACCCGCAGTGAGTTTCCATCAGAGTGCTTTTTTATCACTCCGCTGCTTGCTTAAAACGGGCTGGAAACGTACAACTGCGACACTGCACCACGTGATGTGAGCTTTCGCCGTCGGCGTACCCCATAGAAAGGGTATCAGGAGTTGCACACTCTTTTGGGTTATAATTATACTCTTGATCATAGGCTACAGCCGCAAGACTTTAGTGCATACGTTAACTTTGCATGTGCAGGTATTTGTATAGTGTACTAGTACACTCTTGATGTGTTCGTTTGTTCTCACCATGTCCGGCGAAAGCAGTTTTGGATTGGTCCGGCCATGCCGTAGTCTGTCATACGTTGAGTAGGATATGACTGGCAGGCATGACCTCTTCAGCAGTAAGTAGGATATGACTGGCACTGAGGCATGACCTCTTCAGCATTAAACATACATTGGTGGCCAAAATGTTGGTCTGGCCGATGCCTGACCGACCGGACCAGTTCCGCCGGTCCTGCTCACAACCAATGCCTGGCAAGGGGGCGAACCTCGTTAGCTGCATCCATGTTACCCGCACTGCGAGTAGTGAGTACCCAGTTGACCGTGGGTGTGGACGCAGTTCGTTGCATGTAAAGTGGTTCACGCATGCATCACCGCACTTGTTAGCACAGACTCAGTGCACGCTCCCCGCTGCCAGCGCGGGTCTCAAACTCGGGACCTTGTGATTCGCAGGCAAGCCCACAACCACTCGGCCAAAGCGCTGGTTTGGGGGACAAAACAACTTATAATTATAGTGTATTATGTACTCCTTTCAGACTCTCAAAGCCTTTCTTCCAGCAATGCTGGCCAAGGACCATGGTCACATCACCACCATAGCCTCCTCTGCTGGCCTCATTGGTGTAAGCGGGATGCTGGACTACTGCGCCAGCAAGTTTGGCGCCGTCGGCTTGCACGAATCCGTTACCATGGAGATCGCCTCACTGGGCAAGACCGGAGTCAAGACCACACTGGTCTGTCCGTACTTTGTCAAGACGGGCATGTTCGAAGGCGCTGCGTCCAGGTGAGCATGACCACGATTAGTGCACTGTATCTGCTGCACACACAGAAAGCATCATAGGGTCAAGGAAATGGTGCTTCATGTCCACTGCACAATAAGTACTACGAAATTACCTGCCCAGCAGAAAGAGCAAAAGGCCGATCTAGATTTAAAATGTTGTCAGGACTGATTCTTAATCCATGGCGTAGTAGGTGGGTCGTTCTATCTCGTTTTGCATCTAACACAGCTAGGAAAGCAGCTTGTGTTTGAATATAAGGTAATGGCTTTAAAGTTGCTATCAAGGTAGACTTCAATCTCTCTCCAGCCACAGGCCCATTGCTACGGAAATGCTCCCCTCCTTACCGAATGTACACCCTTACTGGTAAATGTGCACTGAGCATTAGGTGTTTAATACTGGTGACTTTGTGCTGCTTCTGCGAGGACTCAGATGTTTGTTGAATTAGTCGTATCAGGATGGTATTGCGAGCCAGATGGCATGGCAGTCTAGAGTTTGACGTACTCTTATCTTTGCCCCTCTCATGTGTCCCGCAGGCGTGTAGCTCCTCGTGTGTAGTTAGCATAGTCCGGTCACCACACCAGCATGTGGCCGTCATGGATACTACATAACCAAAATAGGCAACTTGCTAGAAAAGAGTTGATTGTTCCAACTAGGAACACACGCTTCTTGCCGAACTTGACACTTGACTGACTCACGACTGCCATCCGGAGCACACAAGGAGCACGTCGCACCTTCCTCTCGGAAAACCTGCAAGAAAGCACCACTCCCTGCTCAATGCACAGTGTTTCGGGGAATTCACCCCTCATCAGTTGAGCTTGAGTAGGCTGAGGAAGATTGTGCCTGAAAAGCACCACTTATATACTGCTCTCCAGGCCAAACCATCACCAGGGATACACACTTACAGAGACACTTTGTTTCCAGCGCGACAAACACCTCGTGAAGCCCCAGGTAGCAGTGTGAGTCAGAGTCGCTCATCAGTGGAGTTGTGCTAAACAGACGTTGAGAGCCAGTATAGCTATTCACAACGCTGTCACCTCCAACAACTAGTCGCACGTCCGTGTGAGGGACAACAATACGAACTTTTTTTAGAACAATCAACTTCATGACTATTACCGCCGAAGTCGCAACTTCTAAGTTCGTATTGTTGTCCCTCACGCGGACGTGCGACTAGTTGTTGGAGGTGACTGCGTTGTGAATAGCTATACTGGCTCTCAACGTTTGTTTAGCACAGCTCCATGAGAGACTCTGACTCACGCTGCTACCTGGGGCTTCACGAGGTGTTTGTCGCGCTGGAAACAAAGCGTCTTTGCTAGAATGGCGACTATTCTGTTGCCCGTGGTACATGTACATGGTCACCACCAGGGAGTCGCATAACTTAAGGGTTTATACAACTCCCTGGTCACCACACCACACATGTGCAAGCTACACCCCCTGTGTATCCACCACTTCACTCACTGCCATAGCCGCAATCTTTGTTGTGCTGATATAAACCTTCAGAATCGACTGGCTGATCACGCAGCTGACTCCTGAGTACGCCAGTGGCAGAATCGTTGACGCTATTCGCACCAACTGCAAGATGCTTGTCATGCCGAGAATCATCTACGCATTCATTGTTCTGAAGGCGTAAGTATAAACACAAATTCTGGTTTGCTGTGGAGTAGCGCACGAATCTGTACAGTGCTCCTATTGTGCTTGCCCCGTCTTTGGCATCAGGCTAATATCTGAGTTACAGCAAACTCTATCATGGAGACCACTCTAACAAGGTAGCTGGCTCACCTGTCCCAGGGGGCCACTGTGTAGAACCATGACCAAAGGTTGTCATTTCCAGTCCTGAGTTGATCTTGGCTGAGGATGCCACCTGCACTTGGGTACCCTGCACAGTGAAGATCTGCCTCTGTACTACTGCATACCTACACGTACCTGTATGTTGCTTTCCTTGCTCGTTATAAGACAACCTGGGCTTTCAGTTCCCCATACTGTTTATAAAAATAAGAAAGGAGCTGCAGTGTAGTAAGGCAGCTATCCTGCTGTATCTCCTTTGACCAGGAGGTCTTGGTTCTAGGAGGCACATAGAACTTAGAAGTTCACAATTCTAGACTTCATCGCATGTGACTGTGCCAACTGTCCAAGTCTCAACCCCCTCTCTCTCTCTCTCTCTCTCTCTCTCTCTCTCTCTCTCTCTCTCTTTCTCTCTTTCTCTCTTTCTCTCTCTCTCTCTCTCTCTCTCTCTCTCTCTCTCTCTCTCTCTCTCTCTCTCTCTCTCTCTCTCTCTCTCTCTCTCTCTCTCTCTCTCTCTCTCTCTCTCTCTCTCTCTCTCTCTCTCTCTCTCTCTCTCTCTGGCATATTCTTTAACCCGTGTAGAATCATCCCGACCGAGAGTGCACTTCTAATTTCCAAGTACACAGGCATGGCCAGTGCCATGAGGAAGTTCGTTGGACGCACAGGGAAGGCGAAATAACCCACTGCACTGATGGTCTATAGTGGAACAGCACCTTCGCATAATTCTATTCATGTACCACAGTGTGGCAGTGATCATTTCTTGAAATCAAAGCTACACTTTCCAGAAGCCTGAGTGTAATGTTTGATAATGATCTTTCCGTATGTTTGTTGAATGTCTAGTTTTGTCTACCATTGTAAGTCAGTTAGGCTCAGTGAGCCTCGCGCATGATGATATGATTTTTACTTATGTACCATTGGCATGTCATGAGATAAAAAATTAGATATCCTACCATTAGTACTATGCCCATGCAGCGAACTATCGAATGTTGAATACACATACACACACAACAATGAAGACTGAAAACTTACATATTGACTGCTACTATGGGTTCCATGCTTAGCCTAAGTGAAATGATCCTCACTGATCGACTTCAATCATCATCATCCTAAACTGTAACTTCCTTACCACGTGATTCATTTTGGTGGGTCACTGATCAACATTGGAGCTAGGTGTTGACGTCACGTTCAATGTTTGGCGCGTTTGAGACCAAGAAAGAAGATAAAGATGACAAGTCGACTGTCACAGAAAACAAAAGTCTTGAATGGACACATAGAAGGCCAAGGATGTGGAACATGTCGGCAGTCCGCAGGATCATTATAGTTCCAAAAACTGTTTAGGCTCTCTTAGTAGCATGCATTTGTGAGTCAGATGTCTACTCACAACTACCAGTACCAATCATGTTCTGGCACTGTACATATAACTTTGAAATTATGTAAAACTATAGAGTGTTGTACGAAAACTTGTTCGAATCATCTTTTTTTTCCATTGCCCTTTTTCTTCTTACATGTATTTTTCCTTACCCTTTAGGTTGTTTCTTGCATCGTCTCCATCGCTTACATTGTTAATAAAGTAGTCCACATGTCGCTTCAGCTCGTCCTACTTATTGCCATATTAAAACTATTCAATTTTAATTTGTACAATTATTATATTAAGTTGTACAATTCTGAGTTCTGAGTTGTTGAACTGCGCTTTGGAAGGGCTACATAGCCATTATCCCTAAAACGAAAGACACAAGCTAGGATAGGAAACATGATGGCAATGAAGCCCTCCCCTGGGCCTGGTGCTGGCAGAGGAGTTTCCAAACTAACTAACGTTACTTCCTTTTTCTGGACAATGCCGTCTCATGCTTGCTACATGCCTGTACCTGCATGGTAAAAAGCAGGGAGTCGTAAAGGGCTTTTACGACTCCCTGGTAAAAAGTGTCACGTGTGCAGAGCTTGACCGTCTAGCGTCTGTGTCAGATTACCAGTCCAAAGCGGCACGCCATCAGCTCATGGGCTGCACACCAGGAGTCGTCAAATACTGGATATATTTGACGACTCCCTGCTGCACACTACTCACTAGCGATGCTTCTTGTCCCCTTAGGCAACGAGGTAGAACCTGTCCTCAATTATTTGTATGACAGGATTTCTCTTGAATTGATCCAGGATCAAGACGAATTCCATAACAAAGTCCTAAAAAGGTGTTGACGCTCAGGCTGGTGGTGCAATGAACCTTGTCTATGTTGGTGAGAATCTGCACGTCACTCCTTTCCCACTGTCGCACTATTTTAGTATTTTGCAGTGGCTCAGTGAGCTGCATGACACTTGACAGTTTGGATTCTTCGTCTGCGTTTTGTGATCTGAATTTTGATGTCGTGATGATCATGGGTGAACCATCAATTCATCCATGGTGTACCAGACTACCAGCTTTCTGCCTCTCAGTCTCACCCAGCTTTCTGCCTCTCAGTCTCACCCAGCTTTCTGCCTCTCAGTCTCACCCAGCTTTCTGCCTCTCAGTCTCACCCAGCTTTCTGCCTCTCAGTCTCACCCAGCTTTCTGGCCATCATCACTGAAAAGATGACCTGGCTGACGGTACTGTACTGGAGCCATGGTAGTATGGATGTTGACTGACCGAAGTCCTTGTTGAGTGACTCACGACTCAGCTGAAAATTTAATGATACCGTGTGATCATCAGTGATACCAAGAGTACAATAACCCCGGGGGTTATGTACTCTTGGTAATACCGAGATCGAGAGTACATAGTTCTTGGTGATTGCGAACCTGCATGTCCCCCTCCTCTCCACAGCTGCCAGCTGCTCTCCGTGTCGTCTCCGTGACCGTAGCCATCTGGTGCCAGTGGCAGTGGTGGCAGATTTCAGGATGAGATCTTCCATTCACAACACCATGACATTGGGCATCGTGCTCACGCCTTCACGGCCATGTGATGATACGTACACACACGCGATCTTGGCGTAGTGCACTATGCTGTATGCTGGTGGAGTGACCACACCACTCCCACTATACTACTCAATAGCCACGAACTAACTTGTACCTCAGAAGTAACACACAGTGTAGTTGTGGCTTATACATGTACTAGTACAATCATGTAGTTTAGAGGTGTGCATGATTGCAGTATAGCGGGGCGAATTTCAGCCGAACATAATAATGTTGGGCTGAAATGATAGTACATGTTCGGCTGTAATGTGACTAATGTGACGCCCCTGTGTATTGTCGAGCCTCCGAAACATACTTTCAGTCCGCCCATGTCCTAGTGGCTAGTCCGAGATACACGTACATGTATTCGTACATGATGTATGCTGTATGTCTAGCAGGCCAGGGCAAAGTTCCATGCAATCTTTCCCAGAGGCCCACGATGGTTATATCCCAGAGGCAATGTTTAAAAATAGAGTCGATAACATGATGGATGGACCAGTCGTCAGCATCAATCAGATCTGCAGACATTGGCTTTACTCAATCTGAGGACAGAACTGTCTCGTCCTCTGTGGACTCATCAGCGCAGCGCAGCCTGAGAAAATGAGGCCGAACCTGAGAGCAAAGACATTGGTTTTATGTTGTTTTTCAGCACATGCAAATGTACTACTGTGGTACAAGGCGAAACCCATCCCTGGAATGGCTGGATCAGTTGTCTTTGTGCTGTGGTGGCCCCCACTGGCAATGTTCACGTGTTCAATAGTGGTGTACACGTATGAGTGAGTGTGCGGATGTGTGCGCAACGAGTGAGTGCAGGGTGGACAGAGAAATTGGTTTTATGTTGTTTTTCAGCACATGCAAATGTACTACTGTGGTACAAGGCGAAACCCATCCCTGGAATGGCTGGATCAGTTGTCTTTGTGCTGTGGTGGCCCCCACTGGCAATGTTCACGTGTTCAATAGTGGTGTACACGTATGAGTGAGTGTGCGGATGTGTGCGCAACGAGTGAGTGCAGGGTGGACAGAGAAATTGGTTTTATGTTGTTTTTCAGCACATGCAAATGTACTACTGTGGTACAAGGCGAAACCCATCCCTGGAATGGCTGGATCAGAGTCTTACAAGCTCTGCAGACTGCAGGGTTGAATTTCACCTGATACCACTGCATGATCAGATGTACATGCACATGTAGCTCCAGTTCCCAACGGACGTGCATTGACCACCGTTGGTCATGGCGGCTTCTTCTAGTCTACATCCATGAACAACACGTCAAGACAACAACAGTCAGTCCTCGGAACTCATCACACACCACGTGACGGACACGTTTCTATACATACAATGACTTTATGTACATGACTGTACTGTACTAGTGTTACAGTGTCGTCTGTACTCGAGGATATTCAGGATATTCAGGATACTCAGGATATTCAGGATAATTCAGGAACACAGTACTACACACTGCGCACCACAAGACAAGACAAGAAAAAGTCACTGGAAGTGGAACCATTGCCATTACATTACATCGGTGAAACTGCATGAATGATGCCGCTTCTGCCTAAGTAACTTCTGGTCTAGTCTACCTCTGCCTTTTGCGTCACGTCAGTGTACCTGTGTAATCGTAACTGACACTGCCAATGCAGTTTGACATCAGCTGTATCTGGTCCGACACTTGTAAGCTGAGCACTTCTGGTGAAACTCAGTGACCTATTGGAAAAGTGTCGTGCCTCCTCACCATTCCCGACCGCATGCTCATAACTTGTCAATACATGACGTGACGTGTGCCAGAGCAACCACAGTAATTCTACTTTATTTGCATTTCTGGCATGCCTACATTGTCTACCATTGCCTACCATCATTCCCAGCAATGCGCGTGCGTCAACATTTTGTGGTTCATTCCTGTCATATCCTAACCTGAGCCTGAGGAGGTTATGCTCGTACAAGCATGTACACAGCAACACTGTACTTGATGTGCCCTCATATTATGACATGTATTGTGCCATGAAGACGCGGCTCTCCGTTTCTGGAGTCTGGCTGATCCTCAGCTGATCCTACACTACAGTGTGGGCTTCACTGGGAGAGTGATTGAGTGTCAGTGCGGTACAGGTAGTCTTGTTTCCTGTTCGACCCTCTTTGAAGGTGTACATTGTACTGTTGAGGCAACGAACTAAAATAAATCAAAGCCAAACAAAACAAATACATGGCGTGTACCCGAGTAGCTGTATGCTTCGCCATAGAGGCTCCACCTCGAGCCCGAATCCTCGCACACAATGCTGTTTCATCATGGATATCATTATGGTAGTACGAGTAGCGAGGAGACTCAGTTTCCAGTACGAGTACCTGATTGTACCACACACACGGAGACAACAACCAGACAACAGTGTGTTTACTCCATAGGACGTGTAAATCAACTAACTGTTACTTGACTCTTCTCCACAGCGGGCGGTGAATGCTTGTCGTCTATGCCATCCGGATCAGTCATCATGACAACTTAACTGAATGGCGCATGTCTCTGAGTGTGACGCGACGTTGACAATTATTTCTGTATGTAGGGACGATTCAACTACTGTACTCTATCGTGACTAAAATGTGACACCACACAATCAGCATACAATTACAATGCAAAGACAGGTACGTTCATGTCGCATACAGTTGCGATGATAAAGACGGTCAGCGAAGCACTGAACTAGCTTGCTGCTTCAGTGACAAAACAAAAGCTCCACTTCTAGCGGCAAAGGAGAGCTGATTGAGCTGACACATTCCCAAGGTGTGCGGGCACAAGACCACAAAGGCTGGGTAGTGTGATCCGACACAGACTCCAGCTAACGCTATGACTACTATCAAGAGTTCGCACAGTCTTGCTGAATGTACACGTACGCGTATCAGATGCCAACCAATTCCCACCGTCTCAGACAGTAGATGTGACTTTAGTATCAAGATGGTGTCCACCCCTCCATCAGAATGTCTTCAATAGCTTGCTGGACTCCCCATAATGAAACTCTGAATGTCTCCGTGCACCTAAAAGTAAAGAAAAGTACATTATAGTTCGCACATTCCCGTTACTAACTTACAGGCTATTGACAAGTACTGTGTTGAACAGTTCTCCAACACAACGGGCTTCGGACGGCATGACATGTACACTACCACTACTACTAGTAGACAGTGTTGGAGAACATGCACTCCACGCCGGCTTACGGCCAGTTCACTCACAACACCACAGAGCTTCCAAGGAAATTAGTTATTCTTCTAGATGGAAAATGAGAAACGTCTGTTATCACCACAAGTTGGAACTAACCCCACGCCAAGATCAAACGGAAGCTAAGCCAGAAAAAGAACCATGGCCAGCTTGCCAAAAGTAACGCGTAGCAAGCGTGCACGCAAGCACACTCCATACATAAGTCAGGATGCACACAAAAGCTACAAACTCGGAATAAGGGCAGCGCAGACCACGCCGAAACCGCAACTAGAAGATTGACCGCTGACAGGTCAATCAGTGAATGGAAAAGCATGCACCACCGCGCAGACGCGCACTCACTAACCTACAATCAATACACGGAAAATGGCATCACGCAGAAGGTATACCAAGCAGAGCATGCACAAGTAACAATACAGTTCCAGCCAGTGGCTGCCACGTTACCATAAACTACAACATCTCCCTCCCTGGTAACATCACCTT